TTTTAACTACTTTTAATATTTAGTTGGGTATCCTTTGCTCTTTATACAAGCCTGAATTCTTCTAGGCATGCTTTCAACCAAATTCATTAAAACATTTTGAGGAATTTATTCTATTACTCTTTTAAAGCAGCCTCAAGTTCAAGTTCTTTAAGATTTCTTAGATTGTTAGAACTACTTCTAATACGACATACTATTGTGGTGAGAAAACTAAGTATTTTAGAAATACTTCTATATGAGGCTCCACTTTTATAAAGGCCAACTATTTGTCTGCGTTGAGCTTCAGTTAAATTAAAACTTTTTTTTTTGAAATTTAAAATTTTGAAAACTTTTTAAAAAAAAAGATCTTAAAAATATGCAATGAAAAATATTTTTCAGAATTACCAAACTTGAGTTTTCATATACAAAATTTCCAAAACATATTACTATGTAGGTTCTTGGACAATTTCTAAAAACATCATATCAAAAATTTTTTATTGCCGAAATTTAATCGAATTTCATTTTTATATATTTATTCGAGTTCTGCAGAACCTAGATGCATGGTATTAGTCATAGATATTCACAAGAACTTAAACCGCAAATGATATAAATTTCATATATGTTTATTATGTATACTTTTGCGCAATTAACAAAAGCAAGTACTGTATCATCTATCTATTTATCTATTTCGTGGATAATGGCTGTTCTATAATTATTGTTAAATTTAATGGTTATTAGATAAGATGAATCAAAATTTGCTTCCAATATCTATTTGATAAAAAATTGTATATTTTTATATAATTGGTTAAATACTGGGCTAGCAAAAATACATGTAACGATTTCCTTTTCTCAAAAATAAAAATTTTCTGTAATTTATTCGGGCCAATTAAATTTCGTGATAAAATCAAAATATGATCAACGAAAATCATTACCAATTTGCGAATGTCCGCCACGTCAATATCCAATTTACATATTAGATGAATTATAATATGGAAATTAATGAGTTGTACCCATTTCTCTGACAATATGCTTTCTAATACATTCTATCAGTTTATTATGGAGATATCAGGGAAACATCTTTTGGAGGTCATCTTGTCGGGAAAATGGTTGTTTGGGAATTGTAACGCTTGAAAATAAAAACAAAATCTTTTATAAAAATTGCTATAAAATACTAATCAAGCCCTCAATTAAAAATGAATTTCAAACAAGCAACTACTAACTTGGCTGGAGTTATAATCTTTAGAACCTTCTTTCACTATATTGACATTAACTGTAATAATTATGCGAATGATTATTCTGACAAAATGTTGATAATTGCCATATTCGGAGTATAGGATTTCGGCCATAATTTCAGCCAAAATTTAAAATTTTTGTTTGTATTATATATATTATATATATAGTA